TGCATCAAGCAAGGGTGTTGGATCCCCCTGGAGACATTTTTGACACAATATTGTTTTAGGATATATGGGACACCTGATATTTGAGGACTAATTTTGAGTGACAAAGTCAATATTACCCAAAAAAAAGGATTAGCTCAGGACTAAAAGAAAGATCAATAGGGACTAAGAAGGACTAAGAAGGAGGACTAAACACTGAATATGTCTCTTTCTCTATAAATAAGGCATATTTAGCACAGGTCCTGGTACATTTTTGACACAATATTGTTTTAGGATATATGGGACACCTGATATTTGAGGACTAATTTTGAGTGACAAAGTCAATATTACCCAAAAAAAGGATTAGCTCAGGACTAGAAGAAAGATCAATAGGGACAAGGAAACCTGCTTGTGATGGCTGTGGAAAGTATCCCAGTTCAGTGAGGTTGCAGAAAACGGTCCGTGTTTAAGAGGTGTATAAGTCACTTTTCTGTTGCTGTGATAGAAACACCATGATCAAAGGAACTTATAAAAAGAAGAGTTTATTTGAGCTTACAGTTCCAAGGAGCAAGAATCCATCATGGGGTAGTGGGGGCAGAGCATGGTGGAAGAGGTGGGCGAACGATGAGTGGAAGCTAAGCTCTCACATCTTCAAGCAGACATAGGAAGTGGGGGAGAACTGGAGATCTGGCAAGACTTAAGAACTCTCTAAGCCTGCTCCCAGTGACCTGCTGCCTCCAGCATAGCCATCCCTTCTAAGACCTCCCAAAACAGCGCCACCAACTGGGGACAAAATGCCCAAATACTTGGAGCCTATGGGGGCTCATTCAAATCATCATAAGAGGGGTGTAGGATAAAGCCACAAGATGGTGCCTAAGGAGTCTATGAAACTGAATGATAGACAGTACCTTTGGGATGAATTACTTGAGGGATTGAATAAATGGTCCTGAGATTATTCAGGAAGGATCAAAAGGAATATGTTTGGAACAGGAGGAGTTGTGTGTGTGTGTGTGTGTGTGTGTGTGTGTGTGTGTGTGTATGTGTGTGTGGGTGCCCACATGTACACATAAGTATATAGTCTGTGGCCAGTCAATACTTGTTTAGGAAATGGCTGGATTTGGATGGTTATGAGTTGAAAATTTCTTGCTAATTCTCAGAGCATTCCCAATGCCAGCTAGAATATGAGACTGTTTAGTCTATAAATCAGCATCAAAACATCCACCCTCTCTACTGATGATTTTAGAAAATTTGTGACTCAATCAAATAGACATATTTAAGGAATATTAGACATGTTTAACTTTCATAGGATATTAAAAATGCAACAACTTAAAACCAAAAAGTCACTAAGAACCTGCTTAGGTAAAGCTGGGTGT